AAAAATGTTAAATGTTCATTGTATTCTTTGAAGTAATAATATTATCGTGTTTTATAGTTTTTTTAAATAAGAACCAAATTATTATATTTATGTACGCTACATTGTATAAGTATTTTACGTGTGTCAGTATTTAAGTTATTTAATATTCCTTATAAAAGAGACACACGCAATGAAATAATGAAGTATCAGAGAAAAAAAATTGTATTGAATAAGGACAATATCAAGGATTTTTCGAAGTTTACAATAGTGTGAAATTGAAAAGACAGAAAGTTATTAACTTTTTATTATGGTCAATTTTCAAATTCACCATAATCGGCAAACGGGTTAATACACTTCATCATGTTAATATTTGGAGCAAGGACTTTATGTTACATTCTAAATATATTATTCTTGCTTATTACGTTATTAAAAAATTAAATTTAAATACAGAATTGATCAGAGTTCATCAGACGGAAGGATAACAGTCAAAACTTTTGTATTTTCATTCTTCTTGACATACTTTTGTTTTAACAATTTTTCACCTTATATACTAGACTTCGATTTCTGATTTATATAAATATAAATTAAACATATTTATGTATAAAACATTGACATTTTTTCTGCCAAAAAAATTATTTCAATCACCTAACATCTCCTAGATTTTCTTTTTAAAGTAATTTCATCGTTGTGTTTTCCAGTACTTTCCGTAACATTGCTCTACTATAAATAACAAAAACGCAAAAAAATAATTTTTCGTGATTCACTTGCAATGGTTTAATATTATATATTTCTAGTAACAAAATTCTTCACCTTTAAAACGATACTATGATTCTTCATTTACAGATCATAAACATAGAATAAATAATTCTGAATATAAATTATTTATATTTTCCGAAAAGACACACACAACCGTGTTTTAAGTTCATTACTAAAAGTATAAATTATTAATTAATAAATGTGAAACGAAAGAACTTCAAATAAGTTATCAAATAACGTGAAATTATAATCAAAAGCCCTTATTTGTCATTTAAATAATTACAATGGATACAATGATAGAATTATTAACGCGAGGAATCCGTTTATTTAAAAATTTCTATCCGAAATCTATAGATTTTCTTAAATGACCAAATTGTTTTGATTATGTATTCGATTGTTTTAAAATAACAGATGCGAAGTAGGCTGACTTTGTATTAAAATATGGTCGAACTTTTGGTTTTTAAATTTGAGATTAAACTCCATTTGACCCTTGTCAGGTAAAACCTTAACGAAAGGAATAAATCGAGCGGCATATTATTCGGGACCGTTTGGGCCTTAAAAAATCGTACCTGAAAATGCATAGGGAATATCACCCCATATTCCGAGAAGTCATACAACTATCAAACAAACAGAACAAACAACCCAGGTATGAGTTTCTATCGACATATGGTTCCCACTGCAACATCTATGAAAACCGTTAACCATCTGCATCACTATTAATAGAATATGGGGATAGACTTTTCAACTATCGAACAGTCAACTCAGAGAAGGGATGTCAACCATCTTCTTATTATAAAAACACGTGGAGCAACAACATTCATTCATTCATTCATTAAACTTAATTCACATCGTATCACTAAAAACAACTGATTACAATCATATTAGTTTCTAACAAAGCAGCACATCATTAGAACATTAATTCAACAATTATCAGATATGCAAAACAGATCACAATAAACAATAATAAACATACAACGATATTTAGCAATAAATAAAAAACATATGGTAGCACTGATCAAGGAAATGGTAGTTAAACAACCATTTTATATATTCATACGAAAAGTTTATATTATTAAATGCTGCAGCAAAAATACTCAACCCTTCATGGAGAGTTAGCTGCTAAATATCGTTTTAAGACTCGAGTTTAAATGATCGACGATACTGTAAATCACTATGCCTTGGCTTTAAATATGATAATTAATGACTACAGTCCTGACTTCAACATAAGTGATAATTTACTTAATCGATTCGATAAATTGACTAATAAAAGCTAGGAAGCTAGAAATCAATTACTACAAGAAGAACCAAATTTATCATTCCATACGGCACTAATAATAGCTTAGGAAATAGAATTTGATAGTTTTGAAACTAAATGTACAAATTTACATATCAGCGAGAAGAGAAGATGAAATAAGACTACATGCTTGTTAAATAATAAAAATATGCAAAGCGAAGGAGCGAATGTTTCTTCGTATATTAAGTATTAAAGTAACAATAGTTTTACGATCATTAATTTAATAATCTCTCGATTACGAAAATGGTTTCTTTTCTAGTGTGAATTGTTGCACAGATAAAGCACGTTGACTTCGTTTATATTGATAGCTTAGTTATGAAAGATAAAAAGAATAAGTATGCATTAAAGCTGTATTTTTTTTCTGTTAACAATAATGCTGCATATTATTGCAATAGTTAAAAAATTTTAATTTAGGTTCTCATTCCTATCTTACATTAAATTAATACAATTAATAGAGATTTGTTATTGACAAGAAACGACGAAGACGAAAATTGTAATGATTCTTTAAAACGAGTATATTATTAAAAATAAATTCCTAATCGAAAAATCAAATTTAGTTAAGATATTTTTATACGGATTGACACATAGTATGTGGCACTGCTTAAATTCGATAATTTGAGTGTTGATAGGAAATAAGATCAGAAACAAATGTGTAATAAGATATCGGGAGATCAAAATGAACAGAATATGTTACACAATTAAAATTTATAAAATACTTTTAATTTTACAAAAGTATGAAATCTTTATAAGAACGATTAACAAGATTGAATCAGTAACTGTTGGCATTTGTTGATATTTAAATCTGTTATACTTTTTCAATTGTTTATAATGGTCCGTAATATTGATACCTTGACAAAGGATATATAAACAGTTAAATTTAAACAGAGAATTGTTTAGCGTACTTCAAACAGTTAAAATATAATTAAAAATTTCAGTAATTTCTAATCTTGTTAACATTATACATTTGATATTACAATTTTTTCATCTTAAACACGTCACCGCGATCCTTAACAACAAAACGAATAATTTGAAATATAAAGCATTCAAATCTTTCTAAAAGATAAACGTTTTTTAAATTTATTACAAATAATATAAAGTGTTTATATTAATGAAGGTAAAAGAAAAGAAATTGTAACAAGTTATCAAATTACGTACAGTTATAATCAAAAACCCTTACTGATCATTTAAATAATAAGAACAATGAATACAATGACGGAATTAGCAGCACGAGGAATCCGTTTATTGAAAAATTTCGACCCAAAACATAATAGATTTTCTTAAATGGCTAAATTCTTTTGAGTATGTAGTCGATTGTCTTGAAATAATAGAAGAAATAGAAGTTGAATTTTTATTAAATATGATCGAAATTTCAGTTTTTCAAAGTTCGGCTCCTAACAACCCTCGTCAATTTTCATATAAACAAATTATATTAACAATGGAACAAGTATACTCATCCCTTCAAGGAAAGTCTGCAGCTGAATATCGTTTTAAGACTCGAGTTCAAATGATCGGTGAATCTGTTAAACATTATGTCATTGCTTTAAGCTTGTTAATTAATGACCTGACTTTTTCACAAGTGCTAATTTATTTAATTAATTCATACATGGATTAATAAACCCAGAAGCTAAAAATCGATTACTACAAGAACAAAATTTTACATTATATAATGCAGTAATAATCGCTTTGGAAATGGAATTTAATTATTTTGAGACTAAATTTACAAGTTCAAATACCCACGATAAGAAAATATGACAAAAATTATAAGTCTGTTAAATAATAAAAATATACAAAGTTGAGAAGCGAATGTTTCTTTATACATTAAAGTAACAATATTGTTTTAAGATCATTAATTATATAAAGATATTCAGTTAAATGAAAAACGTCACAACATTACGGAATCATTTAGTACATTCTAGTAAAAAGAATAAGCATTTTAATAAAGCTGTATTTTTGTCGGTAAACAATAATGCAAAACGTTATTGCAATGTTTACAAAAATTACTTCCGGATTTTATTTCTATCTTACATTAAATCGATACAATTAATAAAAATTTGTTATTAACTAGAAACATTCGATAAACGAAAATGAAAATTGAAACGAGTATATTATTAAAAATAGATTCCTAGAATAAAAAAAAAACTAAATTTAGTTACGATATTTTTGTAGCGATTGGACGTAGTATACGTTACTGCTTATATTCGATATTTTAAGTGTTGATAGTAAATAAGATTAGAAACAAATGTTCAATAAGATATCGAGGAATCAAACAAAACGAAATATGTTATACGATTAAAATTATTAAATTGATTCAAAAGTAATAAGTATTTGAATTATTTACACTTGAAACGTTCGGTAGAATAAAATGAAAATTATTAAAAAAAAATTGTTAGATAAAATAATATTATTATTTAATATAACTTTCCAACACACACTAACAAAAAACAAATATTGAATTTAGTGCTACATCATAACTCGTTTTTTTTCTATTTTTCTTTTCGTTTTCAAATTCTTTTCCTTATTTCTTACGTTTCCCCTTCGAATCGTTTTCCTCGTCTAAAGGAATAGTAGCTTAAGCGACCGAAGAGATGGTTTATTGTTAAATCGAAAGAATCAACGAACACAAAAAACATTTTTCAGACCTGCGCCTCACTGTCGTCGTAAGAGTATTAGGAAAGGTTTCACGTATTATGAAAACCCTAGAAAAATTCTCCTCTATTCTATCGTTCTCGGAAAATATAACCTATTTGACAAAAGATTAGTTTCTCCCACCAATAGACGCAGACGTAAAAATTCCTGGTTTCGTACGTCATCTGGACTTTACCCCCGAATAGTATTGTCAACTCCTCGTTATACCTTTCAACCAATGAGCGTCGAAGGCGTCAATGTGATCGTCCAATAAGAAACGAGATACGCTTATCCTACAAACTGTTTCGTATGCACGTAAGTAATTGATCTCAGAAGTGGGGGTAGGAATAGGTCTGGAAAAAAGAGCAGGAAACTAAACGCGTCATTTCTAATTTTTCTATTGAATCGACTATTTCTGGTTAAGTTCATGATGATAAATACGTATACAAGTTTACATTTATAAATGTGTATTGTGGGTTTTGTAAAATCAGTGAACGTGAATTGATTTCATCGATATCGGGTTCCTTAACGTGAAGTGATAAATATGAAGATAAGACAATATTAGAGATAATATATTTCAGTAATATTAGTTATTCTATCCGCGACTAAGAATTATTTCTTTGTTATTGATCGAAGTTTTGATAGAGACCTACCCCACCGGCTACAGCTAAAAGTAAGAATCTTATTTTAATTCTTAACATTTAGTCTACGTTGTAATAGAATTCTAACTAATTTCCTATTGTAAATATACTATTTCCTCTCTAGTTTTCACATAGTCAAATTTCGTTACTCGTCAACACGTTCACATATGTTAAAGTTACTCCGTTGTAAAGTTTATACGTATGATTTCACGATGAACTAACCACACTTTTCTTTTTTTCTTACACCGTAAGACGTAACACGAATCCTTCAAAAGATGCTGTAATTAAGACCATTGAATTTACAAGATAAAAAACAACACTGTATATATATGTATAGTAATGAAATAATAAAATAGTTAAAACAAACTATTACAAACAAATAAAACATATAAACGAGCTATAAATAAGCGTTAATTTAAATTATAAATGATTCATGAAAATAATTAGTTAATCAAAAATTATCGCATTGTTATAACATTTTCCAAATAGCACAAAATATTACACGAGAAAAATTGTTGCATGAACTATTTAAGAGCAAATAAGTTGAACAATAAACTTAAAACAATACATTAGTCGATGTTGAAAAAGAAGAAATTGGTTTGTTTTTTTTTTATTATTATTATAATTAAATTCATTTTCTACTTTAACAATTTGTCCGTGGACATTATGTAAGTTTCTTATTTTTTTTTTTTTTTTTTTCAATTTAAATAACACGTGGGTGGTAATTTATTACATTCGTTCTTTTACCGTATACACATAATTTAGATATTCGAATGAAACGTCGCTGAACGATAAACAAAAGTTATAATCGTTATTAAAAGATAAAATTAGTAAGAATTAAAATGTTTTCCTCTTTCTCGATACAAATATAATTTATTTATTTTTTTTTTTTTTTTTTATGTAGGGACCGACGTAAGAGGAGATTCAAATTGGAACTTTTTAATGCAAACAATCAAAGTGGACCTGGTCATAAATAAATACGCATCAAGTGTTATTGGATTGCAAGAAAAAACGTTGCTCAAGATAACAAAATCATCGCTTTATTTAAATCTAAATAAATGCACATGATATGGTTAGAAGGATAATAATATAATATTATACACATTATCCATTTTCGAATTTATAATATTCAACTAATTGTTGTTTATTACGTTAATTTTCAGTTACAGTCATTGTCTGTACCAAAAAGTAAAGTAGTTGGGTGCTGAATATATTCCTTTCTTCATACTTATCTAAAAAAAAAAAAAGGAAATAAATTTTGCACTATTAATCGTTAAGCATACGTTATATTGTTTAAATATCAGTTTAATTTTTTCTTGATTTATTTTTGTTAATTGTATAGGTTTTTTTTGTAAACAAAAAAATATTGACGTTTTACTAAAAAAAAAAAAATTCTTTTAAAAATATATTACGAGAACAGTTCGGTATTTATTAGTGAAAGTTTAACAAATGAATAAACATAGAAACTTCTAACGAGAGTCACCAATTAATTTACTTGCTCTAAACGTTGTTAAAAAGTTTATATTAACGTTATTAAAAATGTATGAGGACGATGATGCAATGAAATATTATGTTTCCAAAGCTGATACGATGCTAGAAAAGTACAATGGAGATAGCTCCGTTTTTTCCACTTGGATTAAAAAATTTGAGGGTATAGTTGATTATCTCGGAATACCTGATAGTAAAAAAATTACATTCCTATGTTTAATGTTGGAAACTGATATATTTCATGCACTTTCGAATGATTTATCTCCGCATAACATTTACAATGTTCCCTATCTGGATTTATTATACGAGTTAAACACTTTTAATATGATGACCACAAGGAAATTACTTAGAAAAAATTTTAGAGAACGAATACAACGCGATGACGAGACTGCAGAAGATTATGCTAAAAACTTATTCCAACAATTTCATAAGTCTTTTAACAAAGAACACGCTAATTTATTGTTATGCCAACAATTCATAAAAGGATTACGCGATCGTGTTATAGCTACGTATTTGAGTAGGAAACAAAATGCAACATTCAAGATGATTGCAACAAAGGCAATTGAACTTGAAAAAAGATATAATGCTCCGGCAAATGGATGAAAGAAATTTGAATGAATTACGTACAATCAAACATTAAACAAATAATATAAAATAAGATAATATTTAATTAATGTAATATTAAATCGTCAATATTTTATTAAGATAATTAATTATAATCTATGTATATGCTAGAAAATTATAACAATTTTTAACGCGGATTAAATGTATTAAAAATCAGATTAATTATTGTATGTACTTTGTTTATAGTACATTATTATCTGTGCTTTTACGCGTATTTATAAAAAATAAATAAAAGTTTGTGATATTTAAAATTAAGCTTCATTAAAAGGAAAATGAAAAATAGTGATTTTTATTAAAAAAAAAAAAATAATAATGTTATTTATATTTTTTTTTTTAACTTTTATTTCATTCAACATATTGGTATATATATATATTTTTATTTTTCCTTTAATGAAAACACAACTTACTTAAGATATTTATATGGAGACTAACGTAGGAGGAAGATTTATTTTTGAAATGAATACTAATCAAAATATTAAGCGTTATTAGAAAAATCCTTTTCTAAATATGAGCCATTCAATGCACAAATAGATTAACTCCATAAAACCATAAGTAGAATAATGCGATGAAATAAAGCACACTGTTTTTTTAAATTCTATTTTGTAATACAAATTTAAATAAACACTGTAGAATGCATTTTACTTTATTAGACGTGATGAAGTTTTTTTTTAGATCCACGAAATCATTCAGTTTCTGGCCAAAACAAACATGTAGTTTATATTTTTTTTAATAAGCTACGGGGTCATCACGAAACATATATATATATATTCAATAAAATTTATATTAACAATAAATGAAACAAATAAATATATATTAACAATAAAATGTTTCTTTAAATAAATTATTTATTATTCAATTGCCAAAAGAAAATATTTTAATAGTGTTAATCTTTATTATTTGGGAAATTTGTTATAAATATAAAAATTTATGACACTGAACTAATTGCTATGAAATTCAAATTTAAAATTTTTCAAAAAATGGAGTTAATTCCTTTGTGCTGTGAATAACACATGTGTCAATATCTTTCATTTCTTTAAGTTTTATAAAATCGTTACATCTGTTAACTCTGTTTCACGTTCAATTTTATAATATTATATAAACTGTTTATTGTTGTCATTGTCAGTTATATTATCATCTTTAACAAGGACTAATGTAGGAAGATAAAAATCTTCTCTTTTTCTCACTCCTATTTAATAGCAATAAAATTTAAATAATGCAATTGACCAGGTATCGATAAATTGTTAAAATATTAGTTAAACTTTGATATTTTTCTTTTCTTAAATTTATATTTTTAAAAACAATTACAACACTATAAGTCTCTATACTTATTAATAAATATAAAAAAATAAGATCAAGAGTATAGAATAATAACGTTTTAAATAAATAAATTCTTTGAAAATATATTACTAACAGTGCAGTGTTTATTGGGTGAAAAATAAACTAAAAACTTTTAACAAGTTACCTATTTACGTGTCATAAACATTGATAAACTTATATTCGTATTAAAACAATGTCACGGGTCAATGATGAAATGAATTATCTTCTATATGGAGCTGATAAAATATTAGAAAAGTTCGATCTAGATATAATTCTTTTCGATATTTGGTTAAAGAAATTTCGATATTTGGTTAAAGAAATTTCATTTCAAATTATCTCAAAGTACCTGATCGTAGAAAAGTTACATTTTTATGTTTAATGTTGAATGTTATAATCCTTAAAAGATTCAAGGTAAATCCACTTTATTATAACTCATTCCTTTTATCATACGAAAAGATAATAAACATAAAAGATATTATGCTTAAACAAGTGCATGAAAGAAATTTGAATGAATTACAGACAATCAAACATTAAACAAATAAAAAATAAGATTAGGAAATCTTTAATCGCTATAATTTTTTAAATCTTTAACATTACTTTAAGATAATTAATCAATCTAGTTATATCTATCACAAAATGTATTAAAAATCAGATAAATTATTGCATGAACTTTGTTACAATAAATTATCTGTGCTTAACACAACTTATTTATCAACGTAAAACGAAGAAAAAGCGAATGAAAAAGTTATGTTTTTATTTGTAAACAGTAATCTTGTTCGTTAAGGAAAAAAATTCAAAGTATTTGTATGGGATCCTATACTATTAGGAAATAGTTTTTCTATTGAATAAATAAATGTTTTTTATTCAAATCAAACGTTACAAAGAGTAAAACGAAAAATGTTAATTTTGATTACAAAACATAGCTGTATTAATTATAATTTTTCCTTTAATAAAAACACAACTTATTTAAGATATTTATTTGTGGACTGACGTAGGATAAAGCTTTATTTTAATACTAAGAGTGTAAATAATCGAAACGAATTTAATCATAAAATGAATACGCATAAAAATAGTAAAGAATATAAACAAAACTCATTTATAAATGTGTTAATATCCTTCATTTCTTGAAGTGTATCAAATAATGATTGTTGAGTCTGTTTCACGTTTAAATTTGTAATATTAAATTAATTGTTTATTCTGCTCATCGACAGTTATATTATTATATTTACCAATAACTAATAGAGAGCGTTGAAAATCTGTCTATTTTCACTTCTATTTACAGACAATAAAGTTTAAATATTCGTTACAAGGTTAATATATATCAGTAGAACTTTTGTATTTTCATTTTTCTTAATTTAATACTTTTCTAAAACACTGTTTATCTCTATAACGAACCAGAGATCCTTAATATAATTATATATAGAAAAATTATAATAGAAACTGTAAATAATTGAAGTTTTAGAATAAGAAATTATTACAAAATATGTTAAGATAAGTGTGCTTATTGTTAAAAGTTAAACAGAAGTTCGAACAAAGAATTTTCAAAAGATTTCTTATTTAATTGCAATAAGGAATAATTAACGTTTTTTAGTTTTCAAAAATGATGGGTTACGAGGATCAATTACCTATAATTTGTACAGTGTCTCATTATAAATATATAGCACGTTCATTGCTCACACCTTTTAATTTCGATAATGATGCATTTCATAAGTGGCTAAATGCATTCGAGTATATAGCAGATATTATCAGAGTACCAGATAATAAAATGCTTGAATTCTTCTTTACAATGGTGGATAATAATGTTCATCAGTGTGTCAAGGACATTTATTCTTTTGTCAACTTTTCTGAAATTTCATATGATGAGATAATACTGAAGTATTATAATTTTTTTTATCCTTCTGGAGATAAAACTGAATTAAATAGAAAACGTTTTTTATGTCGAATTCAATTTGAACAAGAAACAATTGAAAGTTATGCTGATCATTTACACAAAATATATAAACAATGCTTTTATATAACTAAAAATGATTACAAAATACGCAAACAATTCATAAAAGGTATCCACGACGAAGAAATAAGAACTCATTTAGAAATCTTCTTGCCTTTCTCATTCAAAAGTGCAGTTTTAGAGACCATCGATTTACAAGAAAAAAAATTAAGTCGCAAAATGAATCAAATAACTAAAATAAACTCTAAAGATGCTAAACAAATCAAACATATAAACGAACCCTAAAACTGGATAATTTTGAATCCTGAAAACTTTTACGAATGCAAAAATTATTCAAATGAGTGAAATTGCTGAATGAATTATTAAAGAGCAAATGAACTTCAGTTAAAATAATGCGTTAGTCAAAGTTACAAAAAAAAAAGAAGTAAGCAGAAAAGCTGTATTTTTATCTTTAAAAAAGTAATCCTGCACGTAATCGAAAAAGTTCGAATATTTAGTTTTGGATCTTGAACAATTAAGAAAATATTTTTATACTTAAGACATAAACATTTGTATCTTACACTAAATGTTTGTAACAATGAAATAAAAACGAAAAATGGTATTCGTTATTAACAACAATATTGTTATTAATTTAAAATTTTTCCTTAATAAAAACACAGTTTAATTATTACATTTATATAAAAACTTTTCTAGAACTTTTTATTGTAAACAAGCTATAAGCAGATTTAGTTATAAATAAATACGCATCAACTTATTAACAGATTTTCAAAAAATACGTTTATTAATATATATATATGTCAATATCATAAATTTCTTGAAGATTTTAAAATCACGATTTCGTCATAAGATTAATGTAACTGTTTACATTATTTCACATTCAAATTTATAATATTCTATGAATAGTTTATTGTTGTTATTGTAAATTATATTATTATTTTTTACAAGGACTTATACATGAAGCTGAAAATATGCCCTTTCCCTCTCTTATCTAATGGCAATAAAATGTAAATATTGAGTAGGTCTACAACCGAGAGTTTAACACTGTTTAACACTGTGAAAATATCAGTCATGTTCTTGTATTATTATTTTATTAATATTATAATCTTTTAAACAACTTTTAATCACTATAAAGACACTAAGATATTTAACATATTTATATATAAAAAAATAACAATAACAAATTTAAAACATTGAAGTTTTTAAAGAAGAAATTATTACGAAATATATTAAAATAAGTGTACTGTGTTTATTTCTAATAAGTGAAACAAACGTACGTCTGAACAAAGAATTTTCAAAAGACTTCCTATTCTTTTTTTCTTTTTTTTAAATGATGAATTTCGAAAGTGAATTATCGAGGATTTGTCGAATATTTCATAATGAAAAGCAAACTCGTGTATTGCTAACTCCTTACAAATTGCAAGATTGTGATTTTTATGAATGGCTAAATGTATTTGAGTATGTAACAGAAATTGCATTACCTTATAATAAAACAGTTCAATTCTTCTTTAAAATGGTTGATAAGGAAGTTCATCTGAATGTCAAGCGTATTTACCCAACTGTCAATTTCTATGAAAATTCATACCAAGAGATAATATTGATATATCATAATTATATTTATCCTCTTCGAAATAAAATTGATTTATATAGAAGACGTTTCTCATGTCGAATTCAATTTGAACAAGAAACGATTGAAAAGTTTGCTGATATTTTACTGAAAATGTATAAAAATTGCTTTTATAATTATAGAAAAGATGTAAGAGTACGCGAACAATTCATAAAAGGACTTCGCGACGAAGAAATAAGAACGCATTTAAGAAGTTTCTCAACTATGTCATTCCAACATACAGTTGAAGAGGCCATTGATTTCTTAAGAGAGAAAACTAATCAGCAGGGTGGATCAAATAACTGAAATAAACTCTAAAGATGTCAAATAAATCAAATATATAGACGAATTCTAAAACAGCGTCATTTTCAATCCTCAATATTTTATGAAGATATTTAATTAATTAAAGAATATCATATTATTATGAAAGTTTCTACGTGTTTAAGAAGTATTAAAAACGAGTGAAATTGCAGCATAAACTGTTAAAGAGCAGATGATTAAAATAATATGTTAGTCAAGGTTTGAAGAAGAAGAAGAAGAAGAAACATACCTTTATTTGTAAACAGTAATCCTGCACGTTATTGAAAAGTTTCAAAGCTGTATCTTTTAATTGACAGAAATTAAGATCAAAAGGATAATATATCTGTTGAATTATTTCCACGTTCACACACACACACACCCACATACAAATTTGTATTATTTCATGGAATGTTTATAATTTTCATTGTCAATTATACTATTTTGAAATAACAAGAACTATTGTGTTAAGTGCTTAAAATATGCCTCATACATAAGATTCAACAGAAAAATTAAAAGTACTTTGCTTCCTGATCTTCATTTCGGATCTATTTCTTCTCAAACTTCCTGGACCAGTTATTTTCTTTCAAAATCAATCAGTTCTAAGAAAATCTAGACTTTGTTTTTCATTGGATAGGCACATTGACGCCTACTAGGTTCATGGGTTTAAGATTTTAACAAAAAGTAGACTGTATTTTCAGAGATATGGTCTAGATCACATTCGAGTCCAGGAATTTTAAGAGTCTGCGTTAGTTAATAAAAGAACTGATTCTTTATATTTTCAGAGAGTCATAAGAAAGACTATATTTACAAGATTTTTAGGTTATGTGAATCTTTTGTAAACTCTAAAGTTACAAAAAGGCGGGTCTGGAAAATGTTTGGTATCTGGTCGTTTAGTTTTAACAATTTACATTTCTTGGTTTACATTAACTTTGTCTTCAGCAGAAGTAGAATAATAAAACGTTCTTGTGGTCGTAACAATACAATTAATAATATTCTAAAATAAAGCCAATTCTTTTTAAATCATTCTTGTTTATTTTATTTATTATTTTTATAGGAAAATTTTCATCATAACATTGTACTCTAAAATACAAAATTTATTAGAAAAATAGATATTGTTTAAATCTTAATTTACTTGTTATCATTATAATAGTCTGTATACAAAAATAGTATATAATCATTTGTAACTCAAAAAACATTTTGTTTCTTTAATGCTTTTACTCGTATTTAAATATAAAAATATTTTTTTTCAAAATCTCATATCTCTTAAAATGTAAAACAAACTTATAAGACTATCTAATAAATTTAAAACAATTCCAACATAAATTCTAAAATATGTCGAATTGAGAAACAATTCATAAAAACCTCTTGCTTATCGATTTACTATTTAAACTTTATTGCTTTTAGATAAAAGTGGAGAGGGGAATATTATCAGCACCCTATATTTGTCCTTAGTAGAAATGATAATCTACTTAACAATAAGTACAATTAATTGTTCATAAAATATTTTATATTTTGACATGAAAAAGATCGAAACTTACAATATTCTTCTAATAATGTTATCACTTCATAACTTTAAATAAATTTCTGATATTGATATTTTTTAAAATGTATTATATGGTATCTCATAATATCTTCATTTTTATCTATTTATGACTAGGTCTACTTTAATTACTTACACCTTAAAGATCTGATTTTGCGTATGATAAATCATCAACAAAAATTTGATTAATTTATATGAATAAAAAGAAAACTTAAACGATGATTCAATAGATTCTTTCAATGAGCAATTACAATGAATATGATCGTTTCGTTTTATACTAAATTCAGTAATATACAGAATTCCAAATAAATTTGTTCTCGTCGACATGGAGGTGTGTCGAGAGCTACCTGTAAAGGACCGGTTTGTTCACAAAGGACATATTAAAATAGTGACCTGGGCCAAGGAAAGATTATTTAGATCCCTGAACTGCATTCCAATGATGGGCTATAAAATTCGGGGAAAAATATTTTCTTTGATGATAGAATACTCGAGATTAATTAAAATCCCTACTGAAAGGACGGCCATTTTGATGACTACGCATCAACAGCGGAAAAGGGGCTCTTGGAATTAATGGGAAGTTTCATCCCTTCTCGAAACGTTCTTTTGGAAGGAAACCTTACCATGTCTCCCACCACGTTTCTCTCTTTCTTCTACATGTTTCCCTCTTTCTCCCTCAACGTTTCATTATTTCCCCCACCATGCAATCTAGTAAAGTACCATCCAAGTGGGAAATGCCGAAATTTACGAAAATGCATAGGCGTGGCCCACAATTCTAAGCGTTTTTAGACAATGTAGGAAACAGAAAAATTGTTACGAACTTTTCCTAGAAATTGTACATAATATTGTACTTAGGTATTCTATAAAATACCAAATGTTATTTAGTCAATGTCGAGAAGAACACATTATCGGACAACATGCGCACGCATACACACACAAAAGTGATCATGGAGCACGGTAAAAAACTAATTTTTGTTTTAACAAATTAAACTCCTTGTTTAGTTTAAATTTTTTGAGTTGTTAATGTTAATTTTTAAGTTGTTTTGTTTTGTTAAATTTTTGTGAGTGGGTTTTTGTGCGCGAGTTTTTGAGACTGTACGTGCAGTTATACTATGCGCATCTTTATAAACTGAAACTTACTCAACGACGGTGTATTATTATGTAGGGCACACTGTTTCTTATCGTAGTAGAAGATTATTACATTTAGACCGATATTCATAGAGATTACCATGGAAAATCTGTATCTTTTTTTTCTTATCATAGAGAAATATAAGCAGGTTTAGAACGAAATGTTTCATATCTGCCTTCTTACTGTATCGGTTTCTCATTTGTTACAAAATATCTAGGAAATGTGAGAAAAATGACATTGCCGGATTTTGTTTGACATTTTGGGCAATGCCTAGGCATTTCGATGAATTTTGAATTTCCCATTTGGACAGTAATATATACAAGAATTTTTTGTGGATTAGTTAGAGATTGAGATACGAATAAGAAACCGAAGTGTACGATTAAAGAACCTTCTAGATTAATTAGAAGTAAATAGAAAGGAAAGTAATAATTGTAAGAAGCGAAATTTTTGGCGTAATAATAAATAAAAGTTATTTATTTGTTCATAGTTAATGTCATAGTAATTTATTCAACGAAATTATACTCAGTCAAAATAGGGATATATAAGAAACGATTACAATAAACAACGGTATGACGCTCAAATTGAAACGAATGAATGACAATTGAAAATACGAAGATTACATTTTAGTTAGAGCATCTTATTTTGAAAAAGGTTATATGTTAGTATAAAAGAATGAGAAAATAATTTACTGAATTCGTTAGAATTTTTACAAGAAAAACTATTATGAAAAAATAATATTTAAATATAATATTATATATAATATATATATATATGGAAAAAGAGATATTGAACTACAAAGTATTATATTTAATCATCCCATTTTTACATTGATTTATTCTTTAAATATATATCATTTTACCTGCCAATCGAAAAGGAACCAATCGGTATATGAACTATGGCCACAACATTGGAATACAAATTGTAATTCGTCTATGGCATATTTGTAGGATGCCATGTTAGCATAGAAATGCATCGAAGCGTTGAATAAATTCACTAGAGTTTCCTTTTTAACGCTAATGTGATAACCAATCGAGATCAAGGTAACAATGTTTAGGACAACGCAAGTTGTTATTATAAATAAGAGAAATTTCAATAGTTTCTTTGGTTTTATATTACATTGTGGTATTTTGTATCTAAAAAAAAAAATAAACAAAAAAAATAATAATAATAATAAATGATTTAAACGTGTGGTTAAAGGATTAGATAAAATATAATCTACATACTTGCGTATTATACGAACAATTAATATCGCAGTTGGCAAACCAACGATAATATCAAGCAAGGTGAGAAGTACTGGACGTAAACCACCAGCAAATCGTATTACTTGCCATTCAGCTATTATTTCCAACAACAACATGAAAAAACGTTTCATTTCGAAGATTGCCAGGGTAAGGGATACCCCATAAACGAATCTCCCCTCCCAACCGCAATTACAAGCAATTGTTTTAATTCTCTTCTTAAATATTATCGGATCTAAACGACCACACTTACACTTACACTTCCACGAATTATTCGACATTCAACAACGAAATTCCTTTCAACGAATTAATAACAAATGTTTACTTGAGATCTGAAAAAAAAAAAAAATATGTATAATTAAACTTAATTTAAT